AGAAACGTTTTTCCGCCATTTGACGCGAATCGCCGAGAGATAAAACATCTTCTTTAAAGGGTAGCGCTACACTATATCGACTGTCGCGATCACGAACGGTAGTGCGGACGTAAAGTTCCTCGCATAATCTATCATCTGGGATAACTATAGGTGGAACATTCACCTCCTCCATCTCCCAAAATTTGCGGACTAACGACTTGAGCGGTTCGACAGCCATACAACAATAAGAGGTTGCCGAAATATTATCCATGATAGGGGCGGAACCAACGATGACGTTGCCCAAGGCGGTCTCGAATGCGTAAGGCGCGGTATGCGAGGGGTTGCCCCTGACCTTATTGTGTAACAAAAGATGAGGGAAAAGCGATGCTCCAATGAGCATGTCTATATCTCCGGGAACGGCATAAGTATCGTCTGCCAGAGTCAAATTCTCAAAATCAATCATTGCCGAGGTGTCGACCGAAACGGTTGGCAGACGCTCGGTGACTTTATCTACTACTAATGTATTTATATTAAAGTTAATACTATGATCTAGCCGAGAATAAAATTTCAAATTTATAGAGCCCTGGGTAATTTTATTAGTACCTCTGATAACTTTGACTACGGGACATGCAGGTATCTTATTTATTAGCAATCCTAAACGCTGGCAACGTTGTCGCGTTATAACTTAGAGCACACATTACATGGAGGGAGCACTGTGTGAGCAGAAAGCGTGATAGGTGCTCTAAGGTTTAGGTAGAGTCTGTCTCTTTCGCACGTGCTTCTGATTGGCTGGCGTGTTTTCCACCGTTGCATCGCGCGAGCGCATGCCCAATGAAACAGCCAATGACAGTGACTGTGCGAGAGAGACAGACTCTAACTAAACTCAGTCTCTCTCTCTCTACGCCGATCACGCTTTCTGCTCACACAGTGCTCCCTCCATGTAATGTATGCTCTAAGCGTTATAAAGCTACTCTGTGATCCGCTGTCTAGCAACGTACGGACATTTTGTTCGTTACGCGAATCCCTAACTACGATACGGGCTGTACCCAGCAGCACGGTGGAAGGAGACTGCGTTCCCGTATTCGACAGTGAGCACAGGGCGACGTCACCCGGTCAACCGTTAGAAGCGTCGACTTTAGTATGTGTAGTTTCCTTGTCCGAATTACTCGACGCGAATATGTTGCCACCTTGGAAATGTAATAACGTATGATGTCTGCTGTCGCACTTGTTACACACGGAACTAGAATTGCATTTAGCAACTAAATTTCAATCGCTTAGGCAATTTAAACATAAGTTGTTCGTCTTTACTATTACATAACTTTCGATGGGTGAATGTTTAAGGAAGGTTGCACAATTATACAAATTACCGTGTTGTTTAATCTTACATAGAACACAGGCGCTATGAGGCGATGTAGGCGCAGCGGTTACGTACTTCAGAGACCAAGCGGTCGTAGTTGACTGTCTGCGGTCGACACATTTCTTAACTTCTTGTTTGACATTCGAGGAACGCTGTATCACTTTAATTTGATCTCATACAAAGGATGTTAAGTCATTCGACGACGGTAACTCAGAGCTACGATGCTCCATTATAAAAACGCACGCACGGTATCCGAGTCCAGTTTCTTTAAGGCGATATGGAGAAACACCACGTCCATAAGGTCAATAAATTTCAGGTACTTGAGTGCAGCCACCGATGCAACAAATTTATCTAAAAACTGCTCTAAGCCAGTGATGTTCGCGGATGATATAGCTTTAAGATCGAATATCTGGTCTAAATATGCAGAGGCTAACAATCGCTTATCTTCATATTTGTTTTTAAGCGTTTCGAATATTAAAGAATAATTGTTTGCTGTTGGTGTGTAACCCGAACAAATGGACTGTGCCTTACCACTCAATTTACTAATTAAATAATACAATCTTTCAGCGTCCGATAACGATGGATTATTATGTATGGTGTTTTGAAAGCTATTAATAAACAACGGCCAAGTTTTTACACCTCCATTGAATACCGGAATATCTATGGGGGGCAATCTAAGTGATTCACGTGAGCGTACCTGGATTTCTGGTTTTGCTTCGCTTTGGGCTGAGACTGTAAGAGCTTTGCCGTCCTTTTTATTTGACACAACATATCTTCAAATGATTGAAGCGATTGATAGTTCACTGTATACTTAGGGTCGATTTGTAATTCTAAACTATTAATTTTGTCTAATATATTTTCGTAATCCGATCGCAAAGAGTCCAACGTTTCGATTTCACATAAAAACGTTTCCCGCACTGAATCTACGTTAATATTTTTATGTTATCACTTATATATTGTATACGTGAAAAGAGTATGCCCCTCTTGGCGTAAAGAGTTTTAAGTTTAATTTCATTTCCACTAACTGCCATCTTCAATCACTATAATTAATATTAGATTAATCACAAAGAATATCGTACAACGCTGGAAGATCAACATAATGCGCCCGACTATATCTCACAACACGCTATTGTCTTATCGTGCCGTATTACGTCGTTAAATTGAACACGCTGTCAGTAATATTTTTTTCTTGAAGGTAACTTGCAAACAAACGAGATAACACGCGTCGACTAGATAAGAATTTAAAGCTCGTATAATTACAAATAGCGAGTTAGATAAATAAAATTAAGCAGGTCTAACTATTTAAATAAATAAGTATCTATTTACCTATGCGAATAAACTAACCAAAATTTAAATTTAAACTAAAACAAAACTACATAAATCTATCCAACATTAAATAAGAGTGTATTGGCCAAGGAATTGGTTCAGCAGTTCAACTCGATGAGGCTACAGGGCACCAGTTTCAAATGCTGCTCGAAGGACCAGAAAAATGGTTGGGCGGCAGGCCTAAGGGTTCCCGAGTTTGATTCCCAGGTTGACCCTTGACCCTATTATGCGAGATATTATACTAAGTGGACTGTATACACGATGGCTTCTTATGCCTCAACAAGATGGCGGATGTGACACGCGGCACCTTAAACAATGCACTCGGTCTTCCAAGTCTTTTGCTTGCCAAGGTTAGGAGAGGATTCTACTTGAGCACATTAGGAGAAATAAAATGGGGCGGGTTAACTAATAAACAAAATGCTCAAGTAGGAACAAAATTATGGGAAAACACTTGCCGGGGTGTGATTCTGGTGCGGCGGACGACGCTTCCGTTGCGGTGATGAGACGTGAGGTGGGTTCTTCTGGGGCGCTCCAGAGATGCGATCCAGACGAGTGGTGCGAAGGAAGAACCCGCACGAGGGCCGCGCGCGAGCCTTTATTGTCTCGGCTTTTCCCACCAAGCACCTCGGTCAGGCGCGCTTCTCATTGGTCGAAAGAATCGCGTCACTTTCTAGACTCCCCTCTTTCCGCTTTCAGTGTTTATGGAAGGGATATTAGGTCAAAGGATGGGTAAACGCTTGGCGAGGGTATATTACCCTCGAATAAAATTAAAAATACAAGAATATGTATATATATATATATATATATATATATATATATATATATATATATATATATATACATATTTCTTACTAGTGCCGCTTTATCGTTTCATCGAGTTTCGAATCAAGATTCTTAAAAGTTTTCACTTCAATAAAATGTTAAATAAAATCGAATCTTAATCGATAATAACGATAATCGATTCTACGTAACATATTTATATGTCTTTTTTTAAGTACGAAAAACCCTAAAAAACAAGGGCACAGTAGTAATAGATGTAAGTTATGTTTCTCGGGAATGAAGACACAATTTTCTTATATGTTGTAAACAAAATGCAGTGGCACAATCATAGAAAAATATTAAACTTTTATACTACAACTTTCATCTTTTTAATTATTCTCACAGACACTGACATAGTGAAGCAACGAAGCGGACTCCATTATTTATTATTACACTTTTTGTGTCCAGTGATTGGACATTTACAGGCAGCTGTAAATTTATTTTATAACGATACGATACCAGAAAATATTTGTAGGCGTCTTTAAAATATTGGTTGGATCGAGAGTGAGCGAAAGGTTGCGTTACTTTAGCGCAGCTTGATATCGATGGTGGCGGGGTAGAATTGAGGGTAAATTGGAAAACCCCCACTGGTTTATGCAGTATAAAGTTCAGCGTAAGCGCAGAGCGCGAGAAATTCCATTGAAGTTATTCTACATTGCATCTCGCCAACAACGCAAAGTCGGGAATTGGTCGTGATGGCTTCTTATGCCTCAACAAGATGGCCGATGTGACATGCGGCACCTAAACCCAGATAAGCCTGAAACTAAAATTTTCTGAAAATTTTGAAAAAAGTTACATTATTTAGTTTATTAGATCTTATGCAACATAAAAAAAATTATGAAAAAAAAATTAAGTGTAAGGCTTTCAGGGAAACAGCCGTCCTATATGTAGGACAGTAGGATAATAAGAGGAAATAAAAGACCATTTATGACAAAACAGAATGTAATTAAAAAGTGTAGTTTATTAGATAACTATTGATTATATTACCCATTGTTATATGTAATTTACTAGATTAACACTATTTATGAATGATATGTTTCAAAACACTTGACACACACTCCAACATCACATTTCTTGCAACGTGTCAAACATTTTTTGTGACATTGACGACAGCGTGTTTGCTTCGATTGAGGAATAACCAGATGATTCATTTGGTCTTTACGACTATCAGCATGTTCATGATGGGAGGGTCGGCTAGGCCCTCTTTTGGCATTTTTTCTGTTTGATTCAATCAAAGCAATTGCTACCCTTCTGCGAAAGCCAAGATGATCCAGTTTTCCATGATTTATTTTATATAACTGCCATGCATTATGTTCGGCAAGATCAATCATGTGTGTGAGCAACGGCATGTACCATTTCTTACCTCGTATACCAATTCGGTAATGTGAAATATTTTCATCAGACCGATCCACTCCTCCCATATATTTGTTATAGATGGACACCATATATGGTTCTTCTATGACAATGTTTCTCTTTTCACTTTGTGAGAAGCGTTTGGCAGATTGTTTAGGATTTATTCCTACAGCATTAGAAGCAATACTGAATATATTATTGTCATGCCATTTAGCAATAATGAACGTGTTGTCATGTGTCGTTCTGTAATCGACAGCACCACGTTCCTTTTTTTCAGTAACTTTGATGTAATCAGAGGACAACTAGATGTCCTGTTTTCTCGAATTGTCCCAGTGCAACGAAGGCCTTTCTTTGTTATCTCTTCCAGCAAGGGCGTCCCAGTAAAAAAATTATCAAAAACTACGTGGTAAGGAAGGTCGAAGCCACGTGAAATCAGCACATCGCAAAAAGTGAGAACAACGCTTGCACCCAGCCCCAATTCTTTATATATTGGATTGCACATAGTTGTAGCACCTTGGTATGGTTCCATCCATAAAACATACCCTAACCGTGTAGCACCAACCCAAGCTTTGAACCCGTACCTAATAGGTTTACCTTTTATGTGCTGTTTGCAGCCATGTCTACCATAGTAGGGGATCATGGCCTCATCTACACTGTAATGCTCTTCAAGAGGAGAAAACTCTAAGAACTTTTTATTTAGAAGTGTAACTAGGGGGCGTACTTTTGTGTATTTGTCTTGCAAATCCAGATTATCATTGACATGAAGGTGGCGAAAAATAAAGTCGAATCTATCCCTAGTCATAGCCGAGCTGATCAATTCATTCTTTGTATCAGGGGAGTTTTCCCAATACATTCTTCTACGGGGGAGCCATGAATAACCACTAACCAACAATATGCCGATGAAACATTTCATATCTTCGGTGGTTATGTCTCCAGGCAAATTCTTTTTGACAGCATATTTATTGCTCTCTGACACCAACAACGAAATAACATCTTCATCTAAGAAGTTTTCAAACCACTCAATTGGGCGCTTATCTTGGCAAGCGCCTTGAACATCTGGCCAATTCACGGGATTTTTTGCCAAGTCCCGTTTTCTCCATGCGTAGGTACGCCTACGTTTAGTTCGACCTGTAGAATCAGAAGGTTCTTCTTCTGTATCACTCACCATAATCTGCCCTTGAATCATTACTTCAGCCGGTTGAAGCAGAATGTTTCGTGGCAAATTATTCAAAGTTACATTATCTTCTTCACCCGAATCTTCGTCAGTGAGACAGTCAGGATCAACAGGAGGAGGTAGAATACATATCAGTCGTTCTCTATAATCTTCTTCATTATCAGAAACATTTTCTAAAGCATCTAAAATTTCATGCGCAGCTAACGGTCTGTAAAGAAAAAGTTGTATTATTGTACTAAAATCATGTATATTATCCTACTGTCCTATATATAGTACGCTAGTATTTGTAACAAGTTATACGTAATTTATTTATATTATTTTGCTAGAATATTTATTTAGTACAAAAGTTAAGGTTATCAACTAGATATTAACACAGAAAAAAACAACTCACGAGTAAAATATAACTTTTTATACATACCTGTCATTTGCCATGTCTGCAACGCACTTTTATTACACACTTATAAGGTAAAATATAAGGTAAAAACTGTTAAAATAACTGTCTTTTTATTTTTTCTAATAAAGCTGACACGTTTCTTACTGCAAATCATAAGACTAAATAATCTTAGATAAAGAGGGTATTCTGATATTTTTTTTTATTTCTACTGTCCTAAATATAGGACAGTAGGCTTATCTGGGTTAAACAATGCACTCGCTCTTCCAAATCTATTGCTTGCCAAGGTTAGGAGGGGATTCTACTTGAGCACATTAGGAGAAATAAAATGGGGCGGGTTAACTGATAAACAAAATGCTCAAGTAGGAACAAAATTACGGGAAAACACTTACCGGGGTGTGATTCTGATGCGGCGGACGACGCTTCCGTTGCGGTGATGAGATGTGAGGTGGGTTCTTCTGGGGCGCCCCAGAGATGCGATCCAGGCCAGTGGTGCGAAGGAAGAGGCCGCACGAGGGCCGCGCGCGAGCCTTTATTGTCTCGGCTTTTCCCACCAAGCACCTCGGTTGGGCGCGCTTCTCTTTGGGCGAAAGAATCGCGTCACCTTCTAGACTCCTCCCTTTCCCCTTTCAGTGTTTACGAAAGGGATATTAGGTCAAAGGATGGGTAAACGCCTGGCAATATACCCTCGAATAAAATTAAAAATACAAGAATACAACTTTCATCTTTTTAATTATTCTCACAGACACTGACATAGTGAAGCAACGAAGCGGACTCCATTATTTATTATTACACTTTTTGTGTCCAGCGATTGGACATTTACAGGCAGCTGTAAATTTATTTTATAACGATACGATACCATAAAATATTTGTAGGCGTCTTTAAAGTATTGTTTGGATCGAGAGTGAGCGAAAGGTTGCGTTACTTTAGCGGAGCTTGATATCGATGGTGGCAGGGTAGAATTGAGGGTAAATTGGAAAACCCCCACTCGTTTATGAAGTATAAAGTTCAGTGTAAGCGCCGAGCGCGAGAAATTCCGTTGAAGTTATTCTACATTGTATCTCGCCAACAACGGAAAGTCGAGAATTGGCATTTAGAGAGCCAAAATTAGGGGTATTTTAGGTAATAATTATGTGGCAAGTTTAAAAATTAGGTGCTCTAAAATTTTCATTGCAACGGAATTTAAATTTGCGTTGCCGGTAAAACGTATCGCTAGCAACATAGCGGTGAAAATTTAAGAACACCTAATATTTAAACTTGATACCTAAGTAGCACCTAACACGTCCCTAATTTTAGCTTTTTTTTAAGTAATAGTTCTGACTTAGCGTTGCTGGCGACACACAACTGTCATTATACGTAGTAGTGGTGCTAAGATAAATAGATAAGAGAGAGAGAGAAGAAATAGATAAGATATAATGGTTCTGTTTGTAGTGGTTCTTTTGGTACAGGAAAAGAAGATAGTGTTACTGAGCGGCTGCTCTGTGCTACACTGAAATGTGTGGTGTTGCTGTTGTTTTGCATACTTTGTTGTTATCATGTAATTACACTATAATTGATAGTTTTACTACACAGTTATACGTCCCCGCCGATAATCACAAACAAGTGTAATGTGAGGGATGTAATTACATGATAACACCAAAGTATGCAAACCAACAGCAACATTACACATCTCAGTGTAGCACAGAGCAGCTGCTCAGCAGTCGCTGCAGCTGAGCAGCAGTCGCTCTATAATGAATTTGGTAGTGCGTTACGCTTATTACTGATAATGATTGATTGCGTAAGTAAGAGAGTAAGTTGAACATCCGCTCTCATACTTTTACCATTTTTAACAATTTACTTTTTCTGGCGTATTTCCGAGATCAGAAGTGAGAACTCCTGTTCTATTACCGACAAGTTTAATTTTATTTTTTAATTGATTTTTTTTCAAAATCATAAATTCTATACTGACTGAATATAACAGAAAAAAATTGACCTATTTAATTCACACAAATGTCATTTTTAATTTGTTTTTGTTATATTTTCCTACGAATAACTTTTATCTGAAGATAGAAAAACCAGCCCATAAAATATTTATGCTGTCTTTGAAATATTTTTTTTAATTACAAGCTTCAATCAGTAAATTCAATCAATACAAGTTTCTATCAAAAAAAAAAAAACTAAAATAACGTAAAGCTGGCAAAAAACATGGACGCTGTAGAAATTCTGCAGTCTGTGAAAAATTGTTTAGTATCTTCCCGACATTTTGATCAGCAAACCATAAATGCTCGCAAAATAGTACCTGTTCCATACCATTAGACCGATTTATGATTCGACATGAACGATTCAAAGTATATTGAGCAAAAGATATGTATTTAAAAAAAACCGAACAAATAGGATTACTGCGCAGTTCCCTCTCCATTTCTTCTCCGATCAGAGGAACCCCATTTCACAATGGCAGTATTATTCGAAAAAATAAAATGAATTTGGACATACGAAATTTTATTGATTAAGAGTAATTTAGTAAACTTTTAACTACTTAAGAAAATGTTATTTTTAGAGATTTTCGTTGAAATGTGATTAAATAAAATTTTAAATATATTCACCATGAAATAGTGAATTTTTTTCTTAATAAATTAAATATGTGCGAATATAATAACGCGCGTCTTTGAAACTCTTGGAAGTACAACTTCACCCTCAATCATCATAAATGATCTAACTTTGAGAACAAAAAAACATCATATATTATCAGAAGATAGTCTGGTAGAATATAAATTAGAATATGCGTTTCGTTACTCAGTGCTCTAGAAATATTTTAAAATGTTGTTTTGTTTCAAGCCTACACAATAAACAAACATTTAAGACATGCAAACAGTTAAGTTACAATGTATATTATTATTACATGAATTAATATATAAACGGTATTTTATAACAAAAAACTAAATATTTTCAAAAAAAATCAAGGAACAGTGCACTGAAATTCTATTAAAATATAAATGTAATAAGTAAATAATATACGTAAAGTAGCATTAGAAATACGTAAATACCTCAGAGGGAAATATAAATCTTACATTATTTGACGTCCATATTTATCCATTTTAATCAACTCTCGATCTTGATTTGTTTCGGGAAGATGCTGCTGTCAATCTCATGTTTCATTTCCCTCTATAGCCTGTTACGACACCAACTGGATGTTATAGGGTAGTGGATTTTCTTACGAAAAGAAAACTGTTTAGAGAGTACGAAATCCGTTCTTATAAAGACATCTTACCAGGACCGTTTTGTTTTTACATTTTTCCATATGAGTAGAAGTAACTTCGAGTAGCTACATGTTTTTGCAGCCAAAAATAATAGTACTTGATACAAATTCTATGTGTTTCGTACTCTACATATTTTTAGTATAGTATATTGAGTTTTTTAGGTGTTTAAGGCCCCGTGCGCGAAATCAACTCATTTCGGACAAATCTGATAACTGTTTGTGTGAACAGGAAAACGAGTTTAAACTTTTTTATTTTTATTATAATAGTCTAGTTCTTAATCTAAAATCTGTCTTGAAGGAATGTATCATATTATCTATATAATAATGGCAAATCACCAATATTCACAACCCTTTTTCCGAAAAGTAACGATCAAGTGATTTTTGTCTTCGTTTTACAACGAAACTACAAAATATTTCAAATATTACAAAATGTAAATAAGGTAAGTTTACGACCTACTTCCTTTTAGCCAGAACAGGTTTTTAATTTCTATCCAAATATAACAGAAAAATTGTTGAAATAACGTAATTTTCAGAAAACTTCGTTCGAAATAAGTATTTTTTTCTACTACATAGAAACACTTTTAATTAATTTAAACAATTACACATTAATCTTAAGATAACTCTTTATTGGAAACTAAATTTTATTTCATAAATAAATAATAATTTCTTTTATTACTAAATGGAAAATTAAACTATATTATCGACCGCGCAAAATCGATCCGGTCGATTGATTTAGAATAATAATGTGTTGCACGCTTAGTCTTTATATAAAAAGTTCAGATGTGCGTGTTCGTAATTCTTATTATCCTAAACGGCTATACAAATTATGATGATTTTTCTCTTCGCATAGGATCACCTGAGTGGTTTTTAGTACCTAATAGTTAGACCCGGCTGCTGTCTCAGTACGTCTGCTATGGTCATTGATATTTTATTTTTGATAGTTTTTTTTTAATGATAATACCCATTTCAGATACCATTCATAAAATACGATTTTGTCTACTGTTGCATTTCATTATGTCCGCATGAAATAATGCAAAAATACCACCCGCGGCTGCATCGAATTGGGTCAAAATTAAGATACCTAAATTGTGATCTATGGCATGGTGACCTATAAAGATCAACGCCATTCTTTGTAAATAAATGTTTAAAGCGGCCATAGATGTGCTTATCCAATAATTATATTTTATTTTAACCGATATTGGACATAGATTTAAACTAAATAGGCCGAATGTTTTATCGAAAATACAAGTATCCTTTAGCATGTTCGACTTATTTTTGCCAAAATGTGTACTTTGTATCCCTCATCGATAAAAATAAATTCAAAACATTGAGTAAATATTATAAAAGAAACGAGTATTATTAATTTTAAAATCAAAGTATTTACTTGACGTGTACGTCACGCACTCGTGATCTGTATTTTATTTATCCCTTTAACATTCCGTTTTTCATAAACGGCGTAATATTTAAATTTAAATGTTTTGCAATTACAAAAACTTTGTTTTAATGAAATCACGATCTTTGATTTTCGGGCAAATACCAATAAGACGTGTTAAATTTGTCTGTACTCTCTAGCAGACATTAATGACATCGCAGAACGAAAACATTGAATTACTTAAGTATATATGCATAGTGTATTTGTCTAACACATTTCTTTTTTATTTTCATTTTATGTTGATTGTAATAAATATACTAAACTATTATACAAAACATCCCAGACTTTTATTTCTAAACCGTACTTACTATGTATCCTAAAATAATTATCAACTAAAGGATCAAAATTGTTTAAGCGAGCACTGCGCTCGGTCT